CTCACACACACACACACACACACACACACGCACACACACACACACACACACACACACACGCACACGCATCAGGCTCGTACTAGTGAGCTATTCTCTCTTTTTGTGGCTGGATATATCTTTTGGTTTTTGTTGATTATACTTGCTTTAGAGCATGGGCTGTTTGGATGTTTACGGGTGGCCACGAGTTCTCTTTGGGAGGAATGTATGTTTTGTGGGCCGGCGTGGAAGGCTTTTCCCAGTTTTTTCGAACCCTTAGCAAGGGGGGTTGGTGCGTTCTTGCTGGAGGAGTCTTCTGTCTTAGGTAAGTTGTCTCTTATCTTCTTCCTCCTCTTGGACAGTGACGTGAGTGTGCAATTTGAGATGAATGTCGGGAATGCCAATGCTGTTATGTTTGTTTGTTTCTGGAAACGAGTTTTTGGTTTTGTGGGCTGATGAGGAAGGCTGTCCAAGCATTTTCGGACCTTTGAGGGGGTCAGGTCAGTGCCTTCTTGCTGGAGTAGTCCTCTGTCTTAGGTAAGTTGCCTTCTGTCCTCCATCCCCTGATGGTTTGAAATATATATGCATATATATGCTGGGCTGGGCTGCCGCCCGGCCGGGCAGGCCCGGGTCAGACGGACCGGGGGGGATCCATCCGGCAAAACGGGGTGGCCGGAAAAGTGTCCCGGAATTATTTTTTTTCTTCTTCTGAGAATGGGGTTCCGCTGCACTTGCTGAGAGCAGTGCAAAACCGCTGAGAAACTGGTGAAAGGTATTCAGGGAGGATTGGGGGGGGGGGGGGGGGGGTTTGGGGGGGGGGTTAACTGGGTGTGTTGTAGGTGTTTCACAACAGCAGCAGCAGCAGTAGCAGAAGAAGAAGCTGAAAAAAAAATAGAAGAAGAACAGAGACAAGAAAGGAGGAGGAGCAGGAGGAGGAGCAGGAGGAGGAGGAGGAGGAGGAAGAAGAAGAAGAAGAAAGGAGTAAGAAGAAGAACAGGAATCAAACTGAGAACCATCAGGAGAAGACTGATAAAAAACAGGCAGACGACCACTCTCGGAAACAAAGTTGTATAACGGGAGATTTGAGTATCAAAGTCTCTCTCTCTCTCTCTCTCTCTCTCTCTCTCTCTCTCTCTCTCTCTCTCTCTCTCTCTCTCTCTCTCTTAC